CGCACTATGAACGTCTGCATAAACTTCGCGCTATTAACAATTCATCATTGGTTGACTGGATTGCTAGTTTTTTAAACAACCGTTCCCAGTATGTTTCTTTCAGTTCCTCAAACTCGTCTGTTGTGAATGTGACATCAGGTGTCCTCCAGGGCTCAGTCTTGGGGCCACTTTTGTTCTTACTATACATAAATGATTTGCCTAATTATATGTCTGTCAAATCCGTCTTTACGCTGACAACTGTTGTATAGTGTCACACATGGCAAATGAACATGAATTTTGTTAAAACAGCCACTCTTTCTTTCTGCAAACGCACCTCTGTATCTCTGTTCGATTACTCCTTCAATGGACTTCCTCCCAGAAACGTGTGTCCGACTGTAAGTACCTAGGCCTGATTTTCACAGCCAACATGTCTTGGTGTAAGCATATCGAATACACTTGCAATAAAGCTTTAAAGAAACTGGGCTATCTAAGTCGCACATTAAAAGATGCTCCATGTGAAACAAAACTTCTCACATATAAAGCACTCACACGTTCCAACCTAGAATATACCAGCCCTATTTAGAAGCCTCATAAAGTATCTGACATCAACACACTATAATCGGTTCAAAACGAAGCCACCCGTTTCATTTTCCGACGTTACGACTGGAACTTCTCACCCTCCTCTCAGCTTGCTACGTTATGTCTACAAGCTCTGTCCGAGCAACGCGATCTCGAAAGCCTTAAGTTGCTACATAATCTGGGCAATACCTCATGCTACACATTAACTAACTAATACTTGTCTTCAGACAAACAGAAGCCCACTAGAAATAGCCTACAAACTCAATCTGACACCACTCCGTCCACGTACTAACATATTTAAATTCATCTTCTTTCCGCACACTATAGAAAAATGGAATACTTTGCCTGGGTCAACCGATGATTTACCACAAATGACGTCACCAACGCGGAAGTGCTCGCCGATCTACCGAATTTCATTGCTTATCGAAAAGACCGCACAGGCTCTCGCGGGGGTGGTGTCCTCATTGCAATCAGTAATCAGTTACCATGTTCCGTTATTAACATCGACTCAGACAGAAATTTTGTGGGTGTTGGTTCAGGCACTGCCACAATCTGTATTATTAGGTGTCTGCTATCGGCCTCCACATAACAATCCTAACTTTTCTCGCGCACTTCAAAGCATTTTAAACCAGCTTACATCAAAGTATCCTAAAGCTGAAATTGTTCTTTTCGGTGATTTCAATTTTCCTGGTATCCACTGGGAACATGACACTTCTACCACTTAGCAGAAACTAGTGATTTTCTTAGTGTTGTTCTTGATTACAACCTAAAACAGTTAGTAACGGAGCTAACGCGTGTCTCACGCGATTCCTCTAATATTTTGCATCTAATACTAACGACTAGTCCTGATAGCCTGTCTTCAATTTACTCTATCGGTGAGATCAGTGACCACAAAGTTATACATGCAGACTTTAGTTTCAGCCCTGTTACTCGTCCCATACACAAGAAAGTTATAACCTTATGCGATATGGGTAACTACGATGCTATAAATAATGAACTTACAGTATTTCTTCCGACATTTCAGTCTGAAATTGACCACTGCTCTATTGAGGAGAACTGGCTAGTTTTCAAACAAAAGCTGACTGACCTAATAGCCAACTTCATCCCTAAAACCACTATTCAGGTTAACAGTTCATAAGCCATGGTTTAATAACTGTTTGCACCGACTAGACAACAAGAAAAAGCGTAGCATTTCGGAGTGCCAAGCTAAAAAGAGGCTACCACAACTGATATAAGTACTACGAGGCTGAAAAAACCTATCTGACGGCTATCCGTGACGCTAAGTTCAAATTTTTTAAAAAAGATTTGCCCAATATGTTAACTAAGGATCCCCGAATGTTCTGGCATGTAATTAACCCTAAAGCAGTTATCAGCTCCACTCTTACTAACGAATCTGGAGAGGTTCTTTCAGATACAGAGTGCGCTGATGCTTTCAATAACGCCTTCTCATCTGTATTTACTAACAAACCAAACGAACTCTTACCTGTATTTTCTTCTCATATAACTCTTGCCATGCCTGAAATCACTTTTACAGCTGACGGTATTCATCCCTCATTGAAAAGTTGAAGATATCACCAGCATCTGGACTAGATGGTATTAATGTCAAACTGTTGAAAAATATACGTCACATTGCGTCAGAGTATCTTGTTTTGGAACATGGGAGAGGCCTTTGTCCTGCAGTGGACGTAGTCAGGCTGATGATGATGATCTCGTTTTGTTATTTTCGCAATCTTTTTCAACAGGAATCATCCCAGACGATTGGAAAGTGGGAAAGGTCGTTCCTGTCTTCAAATCTGGTAACAGGAACTCTCCACTAAACTACCGACCAATCTCTTTGACCAGCGTACCCTGCAAACTCATGGAACACGTAATTTACTCTTACATCATGAACTTTCTCGTACTCCCATAATTTCTTTCATCCCTCTCAAGATGGGTTTCGTAGGGGTCACTCTTGCGAAACCCAGCTTGCCATATTTGTTCATGACCTTCATGCTAAACTCGACATTAACAAACAAACCGATTCTTTATTCCTTGATTTTGCGAAAGCCTTTGATAAAGTACCTCACAAACGCCTAATATTAAAACTGTCTTCGTTAAACTTGCACCCATATGTACTTAACTAGATAAAAGAATTCCTCACTAACCGCATGCAATCAGTGTTTACAAATGATAGTTTGTCTGTCCCTCTTCCGGTAACATCGGGTGTACCGCAGGGCTCTGTCATTGGTCCATTAATGTCCTTGGTTACATTAATGACCTTCCGATGCACGTATCTTCATTTTTCCGCATGTTTGCTGACGACTGTGTCATTTATCGTACTGTCACTGACCCTTTTGACCAAATGTTATTACAAGAAAACCTCAACCATATCCTACAGTGGTGTGATGACTGGTTAGTGACTTTAAACCCTACTAAAAACTAGTCTCATTCACTCGCCATCTAAACCCTCTTCGGTTTTCCTATAACGTAGCTAACGTCCCTGTCGAATCAGTAACCACTTACAAATACTTTCGAGTCACGCTATCCTACAATTTGTCATGGAACACTCACATTAATAAAATCGTATCAACATCTAACAGAACCCTGGGCTTTTTAAAACGCCACTTACGCAGCGCTCCGTGTCATGTAAAACTACTTGCTTATACATCATTAGTTAGATCTAGTTAGAATATGCATCTCCCATTTGGAACCCGGCTGAAGTTGGTCTTACAAATTCCCTTGAATTCATTCAAAGTCGTGCAGCTAGATTTATTCATGCTTCGTACTCATACGACATCAGTGTTTCATCCCTCAAAGCTGCGTGTAACTTATCCCCTTTATCATGTCGCCGACGCATCGCAACCCTCTCATTACTTCACAAGTTTTTTCACTCTCCACTTAACCGCCCTCCTTACATTATCCTGCAGCTCACATATCTCGTCGCACCGGCCATGCGCTTCAGGTTTTTCGCCCGCGTGCCCATACTAAAACATTTTCAGCTTCTTTTTTTCCCAGAGCAGCAAAAGGCTGGGATGGCCTTTCCCACGATATCGCCACAATCACCTCTCTATCAAGCTTCATGCATAATATTTCAATTGTAACTTCACATTTATCATTGTGACAAAATTATCGATTGTATGTTACCCACCCGTTATGTAATGCCCTCTCGGGGGTCTTTAACAAAATAAAAATGAAATGAAAAATAAAATTTCCTTTAGATAGATTATTGAACGAATGTATGGAACCGCGCTTTGTTAAGTGTTATTACTGTTTCATTTCTCTGTTTTTGTTATTTTTTCAATTCCAGTGTTCTATTGCCTCGCTGTTTGTATTCTCCTGTTGAAAAGCCTCACTCCTGTGATAGCCTGAATTGAGCTGCAGTATGTGAAAATAAATAAATAAGTGAGGCCATGGGCGCCGCCAACACCAGCAGAGTGCAAAGACAGTTACGGCTCTCCAGCATGCAGCGTTTGGGAACTGTGACGTGGAGCTTAAAGCACTATGGCGGAAGAGCGGACGACTTAGCTGGCTGCCTCCCACTGTAGTGCCACTGTACAAAACAATGGCCCCACCTCCCCGACGGGAATCGTGAGGAATGCATTTATTGAGCCTAGGGAAGGTACCGTTGCCGTCAGACATTCGCCTTCACCGACTTCTGCATTCGCTTTGAGAGGCACCAACACCGATGAAATTTCAAGGCCGAAAGGCTGCCGCAGTGACGTCCGAGGTTGGGGGCCCAGTTGCCCAACTGAGCAAGCTCAGTAAGACTTTTTTTTCCACATCTTTTATTCGGCCCAGTCTAGCCGCAGCAGCTGCGAGAGCGGGAGCGTCGGTTCTCCTAAAACGTGAACGAAACACAAGCTTTCCGCCGCGTTCGTAGCGTAAATGGGCCCCCACCCTTTGACGTTACAGCGGCAGCCTTTCGGCCTTGAAATTTAGTCGGCGTCGGAGGCACCCAGCCAGCGAACGGTCGAGAGTGAGGAGTAAGTAGACGGGAGAGTGAGGTGTCATTGTTCTTGGCTCGGCGTTGGCGTTTCACAGCGGCGTCTCGAGCACTGATTTCTGAAGCAGACGCATGGCTGTATGATAGAACACCCACTTGCCACACAAACTACTCGGGTTTGATTCCACTTACGACACAAAATTTTTATTTTATTGCATCTTTCTCAAGTTTCGAGTCACGCACAAGACGATTTTTGGCTCACAACTAACGACAACGACGCTGACGCCAGCATTTACGCGAAACAAGTTCTTTAACGCTGTCGCGTTAATAGACCTATTGTAGACGTGCTTTGGCATCTCTTTATCACGCAGCGAATGGTCAGTTTTCTTTTTCCCGCTTGGACACCGGATGGTGAGACTTCAAGGACCGCTGAAAATGAGCTCAGGGCAGCAAATTATCCACACATTCATGAATAGGGTTGTTCAGATGTTCGCAGTGAAATGAAAACATGGTCACTCACCAGCGCGCAGTATCTGCCCGGCCCTAGTAAATGTCGTGAATAAGACGCCGTCACGTTGGCACTCTGCATTAAAAAATGCAAGAGTTTACCACAAAAGTTTGTCTTCCTGTGAAAACATGGTTAGCAAAGCTGTCTTCTGCGCGAGACAAGCAAAACCAAATCTCCGTTCTTGGACAAATACATGACTGCGATTTTATTTGTAGAAATTCAAACTAATATGCAACAATGTATAGAGATAGCGAAATATTTCAGAAGCTCACAGAATGACATTTGAATCACACAAAAGCAGCTACATATAACAAATGCAAACATCTAGAAACTTAAACCAACGCGGCAATAAATGAAGCGCACATATCGCACTCCATTCAAGAGTAAATTTTTCTGCTCTTGTCTTATTCTCTGAGAACACTTCATGTGCTATACTATGCTGATCTTAAATGCTAGACTTTTTATCTTTTTACGTTGAGTGCCATGACCTTATATATAAAGAAGTTTCAGGTTGACACACAATTTATTTTTGTCAACGAAAAATTTGAACCTGAAGAAACCTTCGAGAAACTTTGCGCAACTACAAGCACGCCTGTTTCATGCTGACAGAAAAATGACGACTGAACCACCTGCTATTTTTAAGACTAATATTTTACCCCTATTAGGAAAATTTCCCTTTAGTGAAAATTACTTTTGTAAACAAACATGGTATTTCTTTTGTGCAACATTTTCACACACTATCGAGCGAAATGTTGCCAAGGAGCAGTGTTTTGAACAAAAACAAAAAAAGCTCTTTCTATACCTACGGTTGGTGGAAATCTTATCCGATGAGAAAATGACAGGAATACGTGAGAGTGCACAAAAGTGGACACAAGGCATGAATAAAGGAACAGTGGTAAATGAACATAATGTGTGAATGATAATGAATGAACATGATTATACACAACTTAAGTTCATGCAATTAGAACACTTCACTTTTCAAATGTTCAAAATGTACGCAGACAGAACCGTTATGATTGCGTTGCAACGCCTAAACAACATATGTACTTCAGCGGTGCATTGAGCCAAATGCCCTTCGAACACAATGCACTTTGTAAAACGTCACATGCCTGTCAACGCACGATGCTTAAAAACTGCAACCATGTCATGGACAGAAGCCCAAACCATTGGGGCGGAAAAAAGTATATTTTCTTTATCTGCACATCATAACACGAAAGATAGATGGGATATGGCAAAAATATAGCTATTGTAAACTATTAGCGATAAAACTTCGATAGAATGCTTTCACTTCTTAATATAAAGCTTGGCGCTTCCCTGCGCAGAAGTCGTGATAATAAAAAAGTGAAAATTTTATATAAGAAAAATGAATGAGAGGGTTATTCCAAAAGTTTAGGAGTTGGTGATCCTCAGGAATGTCCATGCATGATAATATTGTCACTGTCTATGTTTCGTTTCACACTGCAGGTACAACACTGTACGAGCTAGCGAGACTTCTTCGAGTAAAAATTTACATTTGACTTTCTTTTTTAAATATGATAGTCTATCTTGGGATACTTGAACGCAAATATTTTGGCCTGTCTGTGTGTGACACGACTACATGATTAAGCCACTCGGCTCAGGTTGAAGCATTTGCTGAACGCCCAGTCATCTTGATCCGGTGGCGGCGTTCATACTTGTGATCATTGTCAATAAAAAAAGCAGCTATAACGCATATCTGAGACACAGCATCAATACATAAGTATTAGGTTGTGTTGCTTTACTGAAAACTACATAGATACGTAATTCTAAAGTTCCCAGTATTTCTGAGACTGCTCTGAAAATACGACGCTATGCATGAAAGAGCGCGCGTTTCTTACGCTTCACTGAAGATGCGACGCTGCGCACCAAGAAGCGCTTTGCAGACTAAGGTCCCTAGATGAAACAAGTTTCCAAGGTAGCGACACCCTCCCTTTTCCTCCTCGCTTATTTGCCTGAAGCGCCCCCTAGAAGGTTGAAAACTTTCATCCAAAAGCGAATGTTTGGGTTCTGTTGCTACGGTGAGTAGATGTAAATGAAACGAAATGGAACAAAATAAGACGTAGAATAAACAGTTACCTTTATGAACATAAACGGCACAACACAAGAGCAAGCGGGATGTGCGTTACTCAACCGGCAACGTTGGGCAGTTCGTTGGGCAACGTTGGGCAGTTACACCACTAGCCATGGCGTCTCGCGTAGTACATTTTAGTTCCACGGCCGCGGGATTTCGTCCAGTTCTAACTAGTCCACTTCTCCGATTGTGTTTTTTTCGTGCTGTGACACAGTGAACGTGCTTCTTGCTGGATCCTGTAAGTGGCCACAGGGCGTGACGTTGTGACGATTGATTACAACCGGCTTGTGCACACGCAAGAAAAAAAACTACGACTAGACTGGTACGAACACTCGTCTAGGAGCACTGCGATGACGTTTTTTTTAAATGTGCCCATTTGGACAATCGTGATGCCAAGTGATTCTGATTCGGTGCTGGGAACTTCCTGAAAAAGTGAGAGTTCTACTGGTGAGGTGTCTCAAAGCAGCGCGTTTCGGCTCAAGCGGGAACTGGTCAAAAAAGAAATGTTTCTGAAGGTGCGTTGATTACAACCTACAGCTGTTCTGTATACGTGCATACCCACATGTATTTGTACCAACTGGCATGCACTAGACGCGCATTAGACGCGTGCCTGGCGTTTCAATAAAAACCGACAAGTGAACTCGCTTCGCAGATCCGCGTCGACATACGTTGACGGAGTTGCACGAAAGCATTCGCGTGAAATGGTTCATAGTTGCACTTCATGGTACGCTTCATCTCGGAAAGCACGAGGTAAGTTGAAGAGAGCGAAACCTTTTTCGGTTGTTTACGACAACGCAGCATTGCTGAAAAACGCAGGTGTTGCATTGAACGAGCATGGCGAAACAATCTTGGTCGACTTAGCGCTATACCGAAACGCTCCTCCTCTTCAGTTTATGTTCTGGCTACGATTTTGTCTTTGGTCACGGCGAGAATCCGGCTGGAGCCATATGCGCATGCGTACTCGTTTTGAACCTTTTGCATAATAATAAATAACACCACCAGCCATTTGCAAGATCACGTGCAAGTAATGCACCAATTACAGACGCGGATGGCAGAGAAAAGAGAGGAGTAATCGAGAGAGTGAGGAGGACGGCTCGAGCACAATGAGTGACGCTACCTTGTTTCATCTAGGGACCTTATTGCAGACGACATGGGTCTGCAACCTGGTGGTGGTCCTTGGTTTTGTACAATCTCCTCTTTCCGGACATTACGGCCAGATGGCGTCCTTATCACATTCAGGCTTTTTCGGGGACAGTCACCAGGTATTTATTAGTTTGTGCGTGTGTGTGTGTGTTTAATTTTTTTTGTTTTTGCCACCCCGAGGGGGAAGTGCACATGCATTGAACACGCAAATTTTTGTAGGAGAGCTTAGACTTTCTCTTTTTCGAAGGGCAGGGCTCGAGTTTTGTAATTATCGAGTGAGACAAGTCATAGGGACAATTGGTGTCGGAAAGACATGGTTAAAAAGACTGTGAAGTGTTCAGGATGGGGTGTGGCTTTGAAAGTGGACCCAAGTGAAGCGGAGAGAGAAGAGGCTGACGCGAAGTGTAGGCAATGTGAGGTCGAGGAAAAAATGGAGAAAATGATGGTTGCCCAGAGTGACCCGCTGATGAGAATCGCCGAACTCGAGATTGCGTTGGCGACAGAGCAAGAGAAAATGAGGGCTATGGGAGAAAGGCTGAAGTCCGCCGAGGAAGCACTAGCCAAGGTGAACAGAGAGTGGCCTACGGAGAGAACAGTAGGCAACCGGCAACCAGAATGGCGGAGAAGAAAGAGCAAGCAAGTTCGGAAAAAAAAGGTTCAGCCGGTTCAATTGTCGCAAGGCCCAGCTTTAGCGAAGTAGTGGTGGGGCTGGGAGGGGAGAAAGCAGCCGGCGTCACAGGTGCAAGTAACCCCCAGGTGCAGGACGCTCCAGCTGAAAAGTCACAGCATGTGATAATCGCCGGGGACTCGAATTTAAATCGATGCACAGAAGCCATCAAAGAGAGGGTAAAAGGTGACAAGAGGGTTGCAGTAGGGGCGTTCCCAGGACGCAAGCTGGAAGCAGCCATGAATCAAGCGAGCGCAAAGCTCAAAACGACAGCTTATAGACGAAACCTCGTGATAATTTTAGGCGGTTTAAACGATGTCCTAAATGAAGATGCAGCAGGACTAGCAGCCACACTGGCGAAAGGCAGTGTGGCTGCTAGTCCACACTGCCTTTCGGCAGTCGATGACATGCGCGCCACTTCTCCTAAGGTACAGGTAGTGATATGCACGATACCGGAGGTACCAGTCCGTGATAGCAACCTGCAAAGAGCGGTTGTAAACGCAAACCAAGAGATATGGCGGATGAATCGAGAGGATGGCTTTGAGGTGGTGGAAATAAACAGAGAGGTGCGTAGGTGGGGTGGTTTCAACGAGACAGAATTGACTTCGATGGGCGGCTAGGTCATGAGGTGGGTTGGTGACTTGCAGGACGAGCAGTAGCTTTCTTGGGGGGCCAGCGGGCCCTTCGGGGTGCAGGATAGCTAGTAATGAGGAAAACAACCAGGGAGACTCTTTGATAGGTGGTATGAATAGATACGATTCCAAAGTGGCACCAATATCTAAGATAGGTAGAGTCCGGGGCATAAATAGACGTAGCCACGAGCGCCGAGCCAATTCAGACATAGGGTATATTACCATGCAGGGTGGTAGGAACAGGCTGAAGTGGGAAGAGATAGAAGAACAGCTAAGGGAAGAGAGGCCGATGGTATACAGTTTTGTAGAAACACATCCCAGGGACATGGAACAACCTCCGAATAATCCGGACTACGCGTGGGAATATTGTAATAGAACAGAAGGCAGCAGAAAGGGGGGTGGTATTGGGGCATTCATTCATAAAAGTACAGACTGGCAAAGGGTCAAGCAGGAGTGCAAGGAACATTTATGGCTAAAAGGGAAAGTGGCAGGTCAAATGACACTCCTTGGTTTCGTGTACTTGTGGACGGGAGCAAAGGCCAGA